ACCACAATAATGCTTTATTGTGGTTCTCCACCGAGCTTGTGCTGGTGAATATATTGTCGAACCAGACGTGTAGGCGTCTGCCTACTTCTCCTTGTAGTTCCCAGGTCAGCGTGCGCTGGAAGGTGCGGGGAGCGTTGCGGTCTCCTTGCTGCATTGTGTTCAAGTTGTACCTCCTGTGGGGTGTAGAGAATGTCGTCCTATGGACATTGTCTGGATCCACGTGTATTTGTTCATACACGTCTGACATATCGATCTTGGATCGGTATGTTGCTCTGGCAACTGATTCTTGGATCAGTCGCATGTCTGGCATTGGTGTGACATCGAGGATCGTGTTTGAGTTACAATTCCTCATGTCTATTACCATGTGCAAAGATCCATCTGCTTTGTGGATACACAGTAGCGGGCATGCTCGCTTGCTGTTCGTGGGATACCACCATCCTGCTTTTACATAGCGATCTATTTTGGTCACTAATGCTTCCTGCAGTGCTACAGGACATCTTGGGGTGTTTTCCCAAAATTTCTTGTTCAGATCCTTCAACGGGATTCGATGGTTCCCCTCTCTCAAGGGAGGCATTTCTAATGGCACTGGCGCCATTACGGTTTCGAATTTCTCTCTCCACCACTCCCTGAGTATTTCAAACTCGGGGTTGTTCATGGAGAGACCTTCCAGATGTGGTACGTCTGGAAGTTCTAGTCCTTCTGGACTAGGGTTGGGCCAACCTTCAGGGTACTTTCTTTCGATTACCCTGAGGTGTGTTTCAATCCCGCCTCCCTGTCAGGGGGGCTTCTTTTTTGGTTGTTCTCGAGCTCTTGCTCGAGTTTTCCATCCATGTGATCTCGTCACATGGTCTTCGCTTACTCCAAGGGTATCTATGTTGCCCTTGTTCACTGTTCTCACTTTGTGGGACCAGAAGTCTAAGCTTACCTGGTTTTTGTTTAACCAGGGGGCACCGAATATGGCATCGTATCTATCGATGTTAATTACATCGAAGTAGTGTTTTTCTACGTGGCCGTTGATCTCAACGTCCACATTTGTTCCGAACAGGATCTGTGATCTTGTTCCTTTCATCCCCATTTGAAGGATGACTGGGTTCTCCAATTGGAGAATTGGGATGTGGACCGTGCAGACAAAGTCCGGCGATATAGCATCCGTTTCGGCTCCACTGTCGAATAGTGCATAGGCTTTTATGCCTGCTATTTTTATGTGAGCTGTCAGCGTTCTCTTTGTTGAGAGCGGTCTGTTTGCAGGGTATTTTCCCGCATCTTTTGAGATGCGGAATTTCACATCAAACAAGGGGGACTGGGTTTCAATGGACTTTTGGTCCTTCTTCCCTTTGTCCTTGTTTTCTTTGGGTACTTTGGTGTATTTCCCCAAGGCATCTTTTCTTGGTGCTTCCACCAAGGCTTCGGCGACTTTTTCATCTGCTGTGTTTTCTAACTGGCGTGCTACAGCCAGTTTGATTTTGTAATTTATGTCGTCGTGATCGATGACTGACATTGGGCCCATCCTTATGGTCCCAATGTTGACTTCCTCACCCTCTGAGTTGGGTGAGTATTGAGGTCCTTCGTATGGGTCCTCTACTTCAAAGCTTGATGCTCCGGAGTTACCAGAGTTGTTCTCTGGTTTTTCGTTTGATGAGTCTTCCGACTCTTCTTCTGTTGTGGTCATGATCTCCATGGTGGCTATGTGCCTTGGTTTTTCTTCGCTCATTGCATTGTGTCTTGGGCAATCTTTCGTTTGCCCTATTTTGCCGCATTTGCCGCAAATTGGAACTGACTTTTGGTCGGTTTTCCTCGAGTTTTTCGAGGATGTATCCTCTTTCCATCTGGGTTTCGGCTCTTCAGCCTTCTTTCCTGATGGGAGGGCTCTGCCGTGGCTCATGGTTGCCATGGTAGTTGTTCAGGTATAGTATCCTGATTTGTAGGCTGAAGACATCTTCAGCCCATTGATTATCTCGTCTACACGAGATATTGCTTTTAAAATCTCCTCGTTTGAGAAGTCTGCTCTGATTCTATCATGAGCAATCATTTCCCTCTTCCATTTGAGGGGAATGTAGTTTAGGAACCTGGTGTTGAAGGACGCCTGGTCTGGCAGCGTCACCATCTGGGACGCTGCTTTGGACAGTTCTAGGTAGAACTGTTTTAGGCCTTTTTCCACTTCGTATTTGACGTTGTGGTACTTCTTTGTCGCGTTCAACACGGCAGAGGCTTTAATGAAAGTTCTCATCAATATGTTGAGAACTTCAAGGAACATGCCCTTGTCTCCTCTGAGGAGAGTTTCGTCTTGGAGTCTTATTCCGAGGTCGAATGCGGGTCCCCCTAATCCGCAAATCAAGCAGTCCAGATGGACTTTGTCGAATTGGGGACCTTTGCATCCTCGCAAAGTGAGGAATCCCAGTAGTTCTGTGAACCACTGCCAGAACGATTCCTTGTCGTTCTCCCCTGACCATTTCTTGTCAGGGAATGCCGGCCCATTTTTTAGGGCTTCAGGCTTCACTCCTTCTGGGTAGGGAGTGAGTATTCTCACTTTGGCCATTCTTATGGCCTTTTCGTACCATTTCTCCAGGTACTCCTCTTGCTCCCCTGCCTTTGCGGGGTCACTATCCAATGGAGATCTCTCCTTTGGGGGGGTTTTCGCTGGGGGAAATCTTTCTCGCAGCATTTCTTTGGTTTCAGGTGAATTCGCCTGAAGTTGTATTTGGATTCTCTCATTGTTTTGAGAGAGTGTGGTTGAGTTACCTCTCTGTTCGAGAGGTCCATCATAAGTGGACGTTTGGCTGAACCTTTGGTACATGCCAATTCTCCTCCTAATTTCTGAACGATGCCTTCTTTCGGCATTGTCTTCTCCTATCCTTGGGAGAAGGATCTCCTTAGCGTCTCTGTCAAGTCGCTGATGATACTCCAGTGTGCTTTCACTGGTGGTTCTTTTTGTGAATTTTTCACGAGTTCTATTTATGTCCTGGACCGTGGTCCAAGGGTGTTTATTTTTTTCCTCACTTTTTTGTGAGAAGTTTATTTCCTTCAGCAAGTCCGTCTGTTCGCTGATTTTTTCAGTCAATGCATCGATTGCATTGGCCATTCTTTCTAGAGTTATCTTTAGATGAGCCATACTATTGTGGTTCGTTTCCTCAATCTTTTTTTGGATCAAGTTTATTGCGTTTATTATGTGCGATTCCTGGTTTTCCAGGAGGAAGTTTGGTTGGGTGAGCAGAGACTCTCCCAGTTGACATTGCCGCTTCTGGGGGTTCCAGAAGGGGTTCTTGGAGTGAACACTCCATGCTCGCTTTGTTTAGGCGAGGCTGTTGCAGAGTGTGCTTCCCTTTCATAGAGGGGTCTGTTCGCTGGTTTTTCCGTAAGGCTTCCTCAGCAAACTCCCTCATTTCAGTTCGCCTCCTCTTCATTATCTCGGAGACCTCCTCCAAGGTTGGTGACCTTGCCTTGTCTGGCATGGTGTGGGGGAGTGTAAACAGCAGAAGTTCTTTTGGAGCTTCCACGCTCTGGGAGATCCTGCTCTCAGGGCATATCTTCATGCCTTCTCAGGCTTTCAGCCTGAGGAGAAGTTGGTCTTCACTTTCCATCCTCCATTCGGACAGAACCTGGAACAAGTCCAGTAGTTTTTCGGATAGCCGATGTGGGGGCTCTTCCCTTTGTTTTCCTTTGTCTGCCTTTGGGGCTTGACTTGGGGACATGAGGGAGGACTCCAGGGGATAGTTGGGCCCTGGAGTTTCCTGCGACTCTATCCGATCAGCTTTTTGGGCTGATTGTTTGGTGCTTACGCGTTTATCGCGCAAGTCATTCACCTCATGAGGAGGTGAAGGATCTTCCCCAGCTTGGGTTAGATCAGTATGTCGTGGAGTTCTAGGGGTATTAGGCCCTGCACTTACTCCATGTAAGTTTCTAAAACCTTCAGGGGCCAGCCCTGAGGTGGTTGCTAATGCCGGATCGTGTTGATCCTCGTTGTCGTCTGATGATGGCTGTTGGTTTGAATCTCCCATGATGGGAGATTGCGGTTTCTTAATAAACTGCTCGTTTCTTTTTAGCATCACTGCAGATGCGACCTTGCCCTTGCAGGCGGGTTTAGGCACCATAGGTGCTACCAAGTCAGATGTTAAGATTGGATAGTTTTTGTGGGTTGTGTTGTAAAACACACCTCACACACTTAAAAAAGTGTGAGGTCTCAGGGTAGCTCAGCACACAGAGCCATAAGTGATACAAGTGTGTGTATTTTATGGTAGTGTGTAAGCAGTTACCCAGAGGTTCCCGCTTACCCACGTGACTATATGTATCTAATTACATGTGGCTCGGGGTTTGGGGCTATTGCCCTGACATATACCAACCTCAGTCTCACAGTTGTGAACGCAATGAGAACTGAGGGCGTCAGCAAAGGAAACATTGAGCTTTTAAGCATCAATTAATCAAATGTAACAGGAGTGAGGATTATTACAAATAAAGGAAGGTGAAGTGACCAACAGGTCGGAAAAAGGAAGATAAATGCTAAATAAACATGGAATGATCAGACAGTAGAGACCGACTAGAAATAAACCTAACATCAATCATCAGGCATCTCACTGAGATCATGTAGGTTGGGTATCCTTGCGCTAAAGCGTTGAACCAACTGTTGCTGTCTTACAACAAGCACTGTGAGTTGAATCGAGGATTGTCTGAAACAATAAAAGGGGTCGACAGAGGGGGGACACACCGTCTCTTACTCCTGCCTTCGGCACTTAACCAGAGAGAAAGTGGTCTGGAGAAGTGTTGTTTGGAAGGCAAGCCACCCTCTTCATGGTTATTAACAAGGGGAGCTGGGTCTCTAAGCACTATGATCTCCTCCACACATGCAGAGTTCCTCTTCTCAGTGCCTATCAAGTGACATGCTGGTGACATCAAACCTAAACACCGATCTGAACATCGCAAATGGAACTTGAGGAGAAGCGGTGGGGGCCGAGGGTTTCGCTTTGTTGCCCACCATCCTGCCCTCTTGGAAGTCGCTCAAGTGCTCTATGGTGCCCGACAAAGATGGAGAACTTGCAGTCACGAAGTTCTCATTTGCAAGGTACATGACCTGTGTGCGAAGCCTTGAAGCAGGCAGACTCAAGTACATATGCTTCGAATATGCCGGCAAATACTACTTGGGAAGCAGCAAGGTATCGGGCACTGGTTAATACAATTCGTTGGATAGTCACATGCTATTGGGAATCACATGAGAAGTAAAAGTAATATAAACACATTTTTCCCACGCACTTGTGGGTTTGGAAGTGACCTTGCAAGCAAGGTAACCGGAATCATGAGCGAAGACCATACCGTTAAAGGACTATCACCCTTTGGTACGCAGTACGACGGCTCCAATCTGCGCATTGCGATCGTCCACACCAGATGGAACAAGGTGGTCATCGACGCGTTGCTAGTGGCGACGCTGAGGAAGCTCAGGGAAGCTGGTGTTAAAGAGGGTAACATTGTCATTCAGAGCGTCCCTGGAAGTTTTGAGCTCCCATTGGCATGCGCAAGGTATGTACTTGTCGTGTTAGGCGCGACGATGGTCGTAAAAGTCTGCGCGAAAGCCTCCGCTCCACCTAAAATGCTTGTGTGTTCGTTAGGGTCATATCTGCATCTCAAATCCAGGCATATTCAACCGCAACGGATCTACTCAGTGGCGCGAACTCGTTATTGTCCCTTGACTCTCGTCCCAACACACCTGCCATCGCTTCGTCAAAGCCGGCCAACATACCATCTCGACCATTTGATGCCGTTATCGCGATTGGGGTTCTTCTCAAAGGCTCAACGATGCACACCTCTGAAGCGGTTTCTACAGGACTCATGCGGGTCCAATTGGATAGTGGGGTTCCGATAATATTCGGGGTATTGACTGCGCTGGCGGATGTGCAGGCTCTAATCAGAGGGGGAATAGGTGGCCCGGATGGCAAGCAGGGTCATCACCATGGGGAAGACTGGGGTGCTGCTGCGGTTGAAATGGGAAGTCAAGCTCGAGGGTGGGCGCAGGGGAAATTCGCATAGGTCTAGCCCTCATTGCATGGGTCCGGTGTTATGGGTGAGCGTTCTGGATCGCGCGTCCATGATCTATTGAGGAGTCTAATGGAACTGTACAGCTCTTTGTATCCCGTATTGTTGTAGGTTAGAGATGTGCTTTGGACTCGAACGTGGCGCGCGAGTGAGTGAGTGAGTGAGTGGATATTCAGCCTGCAAGCTTAGGCTGCTCCTGAGAACGCCGAGGCAGAGGGAAATAACAAAAATTAGTCTGATCTGTGTACCCGCTCCTTTGTCCGGGTAGATCGAGAATTACCGCCACAGCTCAAAAACTGATGCAATAACTTGACTCCGAATTATCGAGGGAATGTAGGAATAAAACAGACTGTGGTGCAATTTGAGGCGGCCAATTTGTTGAAAAAAACTGTACTCCGGAGTGGAATTGAGACAAAAAATGGTCCCAAAGCAATGAGTCACGAAGATTTAGATCCTCCTTAATATGGCGGCTGTATTTTCGAACCGCTTATTTGGCTTTGATTCTTGTTAAATATGACCATATTCTGTACTGTGAGAGAACTAGCGTTACAAACTAGGGCTAGACAAAGTCATTGAGTAAAGGTCTAATGAGACCAAGAAATGAGACCTCACCTCAGTTCACGATAGTGTAACTGAGGAGAGAGAGAAGACAGTCATGACGAGTGGCTTTTAAGCCTACAATGACAATCATCTGCAGCTGGTGAGTCCGTGCACCATAATGGTGGGATGTGAACCTTGTCTCTAATACATACCAGACTCCTTAAATAAGAAGTTGGGTTAGTGGGTTGGACATTGGGTTAGTGGGTTGGACATTGGGTTAGTGGGTTGGGCATTGGGTCAGGGGTTGGGGTTGGGGTTGGTGGCTGTGTATTGGGTATGTGTATATTTTTTAAAAATAGGTTGGGGAGATGGCGATGTAATGCTCCTGTGGTTCAGATTTGATTCAGAGTCGAAGCAATTCAGATTGGACTATCCCCACATGATCAAATATTTATTTATGATATTCACGAAATACATATCTCCAGTTATTTGTTCCTAATTTTCGTGGCTGTGCACGTGACTTTTTCCGTTCCACTATGGGGCATTATTAGGTTTAGTCAGCCAACGCTATGACTTCCCCTGGCTCGATCACCCCAATGCACCTGTCTCAGCACCGCACTTGCCCCTTTGCCGCTTTCACAAGTTGCTGCGCAACCTGACCATTTGATGGACCCAGGGACCGTGCCTCAGTTGTATGCTGGGTTTTCTGGTGCAGATGCGCGAAGTGGACCACACCAGCGGAGGTACGTACTGAACTTCACTTATCACGAGAGTGCTCATGACAATTCAGGCCATGCTTATAAAAAGGGCTTTCACAGCGCCCCCTTTTCCTTCCTTATCGCCTGAATCTCTCGCGACTCTTGTGGTGCATACAAGGCTCCTTGACCAGCTTGATAGCCTTGACTCAGAATACTCAAATCGATCTATCGGATTGCATGGGGCTTATCGACAGCTCTGGGATCTCCTCAACCATGCCACCAATCTCAACAGCCAGCAACGAAGCGAACTTGCAGACTGGTACATCGCCCGTTTCAACCAATCTGCACAACTCAGAGAAGAATCAATCATTTGTGGAAGTCAGCACCAAACAACCTCCGAACATGTTCGATCAGGAGGTATCAACCGTTCCGATGACTGTACCACCAGAGTGCCCGAGCAAGTCAGACGAACCCTCCCAACTGTGGGATCTCGCTGACAATGGGACAATGATGGGGAAGATGAGTGTGGGGGAACTACCAAGCGCCCGAGAGAGGTTGATGACGACCATGATGCTCGATATGCCTGGAACTGGGATTACCCAGGAGGTAACTGGCCCTGGGACATTAACGACTTACTTAGTAACCAACAGAAAACCCGATGCTTGCGGAACATCTACAACCTCGACCCTAAGGTGGCGGTCCAAAGCCTTGCTGCATGCGGACGATGTAACGGGTCTATCAATCTAGACTCGCGACTCAGGTCTAGGGGGGGTGGGTATCTCTCTATCTCTCAGGTAGATGTGGGTCCTGCGAGTACGGTGCTGATACTCTGTCTAACCTCTAACTAACTGTCTGTACAGTTGTCACAGAAGAGTCCGATACAAATATAAAAGGAAAGTCACATGCGTGAATGAATGAAGATAATAAAGAAAATAAAGAAAAGGTCATATCTCCTCAACCACCCAACCAGATCCGACGATCTTGGGCTCGTCAGAACCACCTCCACAGTATCTACAATTCCTACTATTACCACGACTCACCAATCCTAGTCCCTGATGCAGTAGGGGGTGAAATGCGTGATAAGGGTTGGTTTGACCTGCACGGACTTGTCCCCACAACAACGACCACCAGCCTTTCCCCATACACTCTGGCGCGACCTCATCTGTGACAAACACATCGACCTTGCTACCATCATCGAAGACCACAATGCTGTCGTGCCCCAATACCATGACTCCATTGACCTTGGTGGCAGGGCTGAAATCACTCTTGGCAAGTCCAGCTCCAAGGGGAAAGCAAAGATCAGAACACAAGGGGAATGGATCACCAGCTTCGAGAAATATAAGCGTGTGCTTCTCTACTATGAACACATCCGGGACAAGTTCAGTGCCTGTGCCGACGAACTTTCTGTCATCAGTTACGACTCTGCAGTCCGGAAATTTGTCCAGGAACGCTACCATCTCTCCTTCACTGACTTCCACCTCTTTAGCGATATTGCCTTCAAACTCCTTAGACACAGCAGCGGCATCGCAGCCCACAGTGCACAACTCCAATCTCGTGGAAGGGGTAAGCAAGGAAAAGGGACGGGAACCTCCCCCATCTGTGGCAAATTTAACACAAAGAAAGGATGCTCGTACGATCCATGCAGATTTAGACATGTCTGCCAGGACTGTGGTGGAGACCACCCCCGATTCAAGTGCACAAAGGAGCCGGGCCAAAAGACAGCCACCTGAGGAACTCTCTATGGGACTTGTGTGTGCTGGGCAGCAGCCACGACATATGCGCTTTATATTTGGCCGCAATGACTATGGACGTACTCCTTCCGCTACATACACAGAAAGTGCACAGCCAATCCCATCAGTCCCTCCTGGTGATTACAGATATAAGAACATTTCCCAAACGATCGCTAAGCACCCTTTCCTGTTCAAATCATTACACCCATCAATGTTGACCGCTTTGAGAGTTTGTTAGTGGGTCACCCAAATCATGTGCTTGTGGAGTCGATGTGTCATGGATTGCGTCATGGTTTATGGCCTTTCGCAGGCACTGATGATCCTAAGCTGCAACCCGAGGGTATAGTCACGCAGCCCTCAGGCCTACCTAACCTCGATGATGAGTCAGTCGAGTTTCTTTGGCGACAGCATGATGCCGAGATCGCTCTGGGTCGATACTCTGAATCCTTTGGGGTATCTCTACTGCCAGGAATGACAGTGCAGCCAGTGTTCACGTTGCCAAAGAAAGGTTCATCCAAACTTCGGCTTGTGAATGATCACAGCGCAGGAATGAATTCCCTCAATTCCCTCATCCCAACTGAGGGAGGTTTTGTCAAACTCGATAACCTCTCGGACCTCATGACCAACATTCGCACACGGAAGAAGGCTAATGGTGGTAAAAAACCTTATTACGTGTGGAAGTCTGATGCTTCCCAGGCATACCGATGCTTACCTATGCACCCCCATTGGCAAGCACAACAAGCTACACTGATTGATGGCCAGTATCATGTTGACAGATGTGCAGTGTTCAGGAACTGCGCATCTGGACGCCTATGGTGCTTGTTTTTTGGGCTGGTCTGCTGGATTGGCATACATGTCAAGGGAATCACTGACCTGCTGCATTATGTTGATGATGCCTTTTTGGCCAGCTTCTCACCGAGCCTCAGCTTTTATGTACCATACAGCCGAAGCATGCCAGTTGGACAGGCCGAGTTCTTGCGTCTCTTGGACTGGATCGGGGTTCCACACGAAGATTCGAAACAGCAACATGGAAGGACCCTCGAGATAATCGGATTTGAAGTGGATCTGCCGTCGATGTCAATCTGAATCTCAAGGGAGGCAAAGACCAAACTCGTCTTGGCAATTCATGAATTTATTGATAACCCACCTAACCCTCGACAACAGACTTTAAGGGCCTGGCTTTGAATCCTCGGCTACGCAAACTGGGCGCTCAATGTCTTCCCACTCCTGAAACCAGCTCTCAATTCATCATACAACAAAGTCGCTGGGAGAAAGTTTATGAATGCCTTCATTTTCATCAACAAGCGGGTGAGAAACGATCTACTCTGGTTTGCAGAACAGGTCGAATCGTTGGAGGGCATCCAGGTGATGGATACCGAAGAATGGTGTGCCGAGGATGCGGATTTCCAGATATGGGGCGACGCTTCATCTATCGGTTTGGCTGTTTTCTCGCCAAAGCACAAGACAGCTTACATTGCAGATCCGGTGGTTGACCAAGAACAGAACTTCAACATTTTCTTCAATGAGGCAGTTACCGTCCTGGCCACCCTGGAATGGGCCGCTTCCATGACACCTCCTCCCAGACGTCTCGCAATCCACACTGATTCCACTACTGCTTTTTCAATATTCAACACCTTGCATGCACTGGACATTTATAATCCGATTATCATGGCTTCGGTGAAAATTTGTTTGAAATCAAAAATCGACTTGCATATGGTCCACATTGAAGGAAAAAAGAACATTATCGCCGATGCCCTATCAAGGCGGGCTTTCACCGCTGCACGCTCTTACATGCCTGAACTCTCAATTAGGCACTTCACGCCCCCACTGAACATGTTGGGGGTGATGAAGGTATGATCTCTCAACAAAGCTCCTCAACCAAGCAGCCCACCCGTGAAAAATGGTTGATGGAGCATCTAATGGTGGAGCGGGTGCGGGCTTTGGGAGCATCCCTGGAACGAAGCATGCACAAAAGTTACATTTCTGCCTTTATGTCCTATGCCACTTTCTGCAAGACTCACGGTTTCCCATTGAAACCATCTGAAAACACTCTTAGCTTCTACATCGTTTACATGTGCCATTACATCCAACCATCTTCCGTCAAAAGCTACTTGTCAGGGATCTGCGTGGAGCTCGAAGGTGCCTGGCCCGACATTCGCTCAATCAGGAACTCCCCCTTCGTATCACGCTGCCTTAGTGGCTGCATGAAGCTGCACAACACCCCAACCATCTGCAAGAGACCTCTAATGGAGGATGATCTTATTATGATCCAAAACAGCCTGCCACAATCCCCTGCCCATGATGACAAGCTTTTCATTGCGATGGTTTTGAC